GGAAATAATTTCGCCAGCTAGTTTTGCTATTCCGGATTTTGCGACGAAGATAGGAGGATGCCTTTATAAATGAAATAAGGTCTGACAGATGCCAAGGAGTGCCTCATTTGTAGCGGTAACTGTTCCAGGCTGCGCGTTTTAAACGAAGCTTTGGTGTAATCAAGAGTTCCACCATGGAACACACTTGAAGGTACAGGGTCGGGAGGTTCGGGAATGGCTGTAGAGGCAGCTCTTAGTACCTGAAACATTGCTACGTATCTGAAATGGACGAGAAGGAGAGTGGGAGGAGAGGAATAGTAGAGAGTGAAGTAAAAGTATGCCAGTCAGTTCTATCAAAGCACCATCGTGGGCGTCTAGAACTGACCAATGGAAGTCTAAATGAAGAAAAGGGGAGCATACAGAGAGGTCAAGGCATGGAAACGATTGCGTGCGCATGTCAAAGTGCGTGGGGCAATCTGAATTAAGATTAATATGATAAGTTTTAGAGAGGAAGCGTTCTAGGGATTGGCCATGGGGGGGGGGGGGGATGAAATCACTTCAAAGAGTGTGGCGACAGGAAAAATCTCCAACTATGGGGAAAGGTGGCTAGTGTTGGGAAAGTAGAATTTCAAAGGCAATAAAGTCACTGGGTTGGGAAGGGGTGAAGTAGGCTGAAATAACTGATCCAACGGCGAAAAAAAATGCTAAAAACTGTACAGGGGACAGTGGTTTGAAAGGGAGGTATAACAAATGACGCTTCCTGATAAGTATAAAGACGAGATATGATGCGAGTGTGAGGAAGACAAAATGATAATTGGGAATCGGTATGAGGATGTATACGAAGAAAGGACATGACAGAGATCGGCAGGTCTTTGAGAACGGAAACCGCGAATATTCCAGTGTAGAAAAGCTATTACGAATTAATAAACGAGTGATAAGGGTAAAAATACGTGCTGAAGTTGGAGGGAATGAGATTAGGGACAAGGGAGAGGAGGTGAAGTGTCAAGAAGGGTCTCAGGAGGTGGAGGATCCGGGGAAGGGCATTGTGGTGGCATAAGGGATTCGCGTGTGGAATGGATAGCGGGGATGGATGGCAGGTTGATGTAGACAGAGCAGGGAAGGATGGGGTGTGTTGGGAGAGAGTAGGAGGAAGGGGTGTAGGAGGAACATGAGTAGGAGGAGGATGGACGCATACTTTGAGTGTAGAGGGAGTGGGAGTAGTGAGATTGGAGGGTGGATGAGGGGTTTCTGTGTCGATTTGGGACATAATTAGAAAATTTTGATCTTCAAGAGTTTCTGGAGGGGAGTTGGTCGGGGAGTTTTGAGGAATTAATGTTTCTTATGAGTGAAGAGAAGATAGGTGACTCAAACCCTGTAGGTAGGGCAGCCCCTATAAAATACATTATGGCCAGATTGGGCACATAGAGGGCTGTGGAACGGCAGCGACTGGCAGTGTCCTAGACGCCAACAATTTTGATACTGATTGGGGAGGGAGGTTGATACGGTCGAGAAGAGACTTTCTGCCAATAGAAACATTGAAGGGGATGTCATGTCTACGTAAATTATTAGTTGTATTGGTAGGTAACTTACGGCGGCCCCTAGGGGGAATGGTGTAGCATTGTACTGATACTGTATCATAATCCACGAGGCAAGGCGAGTAAAACTTCTCCACAGTCTGATCAATCCTTGCCGTAGACAGGGCAGTTTGTCGGGGAGTTGGAAACAGTTCCAGTGCAAGTATTAAGAGAGGAGTGAAGTTGGGTCGGAATGGGTTTGCCAGTGAAGTCGGTCAGGGTTGATAACTTTATTTTGGGTTTCGGATGTAACTGTGACAAAATGTGAACGATCGGCTGTTTTCTGGCTGCGAAGGAAACTTTGCCTACTTGTTTTTGGAGACATGGCTGGACTGTTGTCAGAGTAGGGAACAGTAGAGGGGATCATGAAAAATAGATCCCATTTGGCTAGGCTAAACAGAGTATCCAGTATGTTTGTAGAAGTGTGGGCAGTACTAGGGCGTGGACGTGTTGAAGAGGGAGTAGTGTTGAAAGAGGTAGTACTGCTAAGAGTTGGACAAGAGTAGAGTATTAATAAGGGAGGAGGTGGTAGTAGATGAAGAAAGCTGCAGGGTTGGAGGAGATAAAGTACAGGATATTGAGAGAGGAGGATTGTCTTCTGGAGTTTAATTAATGACCTTGGTGGATTATTTGGATTAAGGTGATAGTAGGTGTTGAGAAGGGGGTAGTTAGTGTTCAGAGTTATGGTCAAAGGAGAGTAGGAGGAAGAGGGGTAAGGGGAACTTGAGGAGAAGGAGGATGACTATCAGCAAATACTTTGAATGTAGAGCGAATAGGATAAAAGAGATTGGAGGGTGGATGAGGGAACAGGCGTTCTCTTGGGTCATATGAGAAATAATGGATTTCTTGTGAGGAGAAGAGGCGATGTCCGATATATGGGTGTAGGACAGGATGCATAAAAAAATGGGGTGGAGCGTTTAGATTGTCTAGAGCGACAGGTAGAGTGAGAGGGAGAAAAGGTAGGCATCGGGAAAGTGGTAGGGATTGGAGTATCTGGGTTTAGACTGGAAAAGCTAATGTTTGCAATATTGGTGTAGGACTTGCATTGGCCTCTGGAAGGAATAGTGTCCCAATGTACTGCCACTGCATCCTAGTCGATGAGGCAGGCAAGAAGGTCGTTTTCACAGTTTGACCAGTCCTTGTTGTAGACAGGGCAATCAGTCGGGGAGATGGAAACAGTCCCAGTTACAAGTATTAAGGGAGGAGTGAAGTCAGTCATTGTTGGAAGAGGAGGGTATTGTCAGAGTCAGGGGCTGTCGGGGAAATCACAACTAATTGATCCCACTTGACTAGGCCAAAGAAAGTGCTGAAAGAGTTTGTAAAGGTGGAAGCAGTAGAAGATAGTTCTGTGGGGAAGAGGACAATAGGGATGAAGAGTAGTAATAAGGGAGGGGGGAGAGGGAGATGATGAAAAATACCGTGTAGTAGGAGATGGAGTGGAGGATGTTGGGAGAGAGGAAGGAGGAAGGAGTGTATTCTGGCAGTTGAGTAATCTCCCGTTTGGACGATTCGTAATGGATAGAGCTGACGGCAAATATCGAAGAAGGGGTATTAGTATCAGCGGCCGGGGCTGTGGCCAAAGGAGAGGCAGGGTCGGAAAACCAGAGAAATCAAATTTAGATAGTTGATGAAGGGACATGTCTTAATGCTCCTAATCGGGGAAAAATCTTCATTATTGACCATGAAGAACCTGAAATAAGTGGGGAAAAGAAATTATCTATCTATTTGGGTAGACCGCATAATGGTCGTGCCCATGTCTCCCGGAGGTCGTTCAGGACTGACACAAAGCCAGCCTTTCTTCCTTTCAGCACGGCTCTCACACCTTATGAAGTTACAAAAGAAGGGGAAGAAGAATAGAAGGAAAAGGAAAGGGGGGGAAGAAACGTCCATGCAAAATTAGTTAAGATGAGGGCTGAGGTCTGTCTCATAAGAACCCACCCCCCACCCCCACGACAACAACGAGCAAGGGATTGAGGGTTTCATGTTTTTAATAATATCAACAAATATTTTGTTGCTTGGTATCCTCGTCAAAGTTAGCTTTTATATTCTTATTTTGTTTTCTCAATAGATCTAGCATATATTTTGTTTTATATTTTCAATTTGTCACCTGATATATTGCTTAAGATGCTTCTTTGTCTGGGCAGCATTGGATGAAAGAAAATCACAGTAAGCGAACCAATATAAATTATTTCGTTAATTCTAGTTTCGGTGTCACGAAATGTTTATGGTTTGGTTATCTTAAAGATTAGGCATGGGTCGGTAAATAGCTCAACTGTTGCAGTTGATTAGGATTAGCAGTCCTCAAAAAAAGATGAATAAGGAAATGAATAAAAAGAAGTTATCCTATCCAACAGCAACAGAGATTAGGAAGGGCATCCACTCGGGACAACGGTCTCCACCTGCCAATACCTGCCACAGAGGGGTGCAAGCCAGCACAGCTCGGTGCCAGTCCCAAGCCTAGATAAAGGAGGAGGGTTGACATCAGGAAGGGCATCCGGTCATAAAACACTGCGCCAACCGAATCATGATGCGGACACAGATAGATAACGGATCCGCACCGGCAACCCCGCACAGGGAACAAGCCAGTAGAAGAAGAAGATCCTATCCAACAGCATCGGGAGGAAAGCGGAAGACCGAGAAGGATGAAGCAAGGGAGAAACGGATCAATCTCCGTGCTTGCGTATGCATTTGGATTTCAGTCACTTCAAGAACTGGACTCAAAAATTGTCCCGGCAATTTATCTATAACCGACGGGCACATTCTGCACAACTCATAACTAAACGATCCAACTAAACTAGGAACAGGGCGATCCATTAAAAATTAGATTTTATATTTCTTACTATATTTCAGGGGGAAAATCAACAGTGCAGAAGCAGCATTTTGAGAGGAAATGTAGTAATATCTTTGTTTTGTGCAAATGGCTTTTCTAGGCCAACCACTT